CTTGCCTCACAAGCATGAGGACCTGGTTCAGACCTCAGCACTTGTGTAAGGATATGATCACCTGTGACAGCAGTGCTGTGGGAAGGGAAGAGATAAGAAAATCGCTGAGCCTCCCTGAACATCAGCCTGGCTCCGGCCTCAGTGAGAGAGTCTGTCCCATGGAACACTGTGGAGAGTGCTGGAGAAGTGTAGCACGGATAATAAAATCCCAGAGACAGATAGATATTGGGGTTCAAGATGAGGATCAGAGAAGCAAAGCAGCCAGCCACCACAGAGCTCTCACATCTGCCAATGCTAAGACAGAAGGGGTGATCCTGTCCTCAGACTGCATCTGCAGACTGCACTGCTCTCCACCAAGCCTCAGAATCCTAGACTGCCCCCAGAGACTGCACTGAGCTCCCTATAGTCTCTCTAGTTCTGGGATTAAAGGCGTGAGCTGTTTCTCTTTTAGACGGATTCATTCTAATGTAGCCCTGGGTGGCCTTGAACTCACAGAAATCCATCTGCCTCTGTCTCCTGTGTCCTGGGATTAAAGGTGTGGCCACAACTGCCCAGCTTCTCTGTCTAACTAGTGTAGCTGGCTTTGCATTCTGAGCCTCCAGGCAATCTTTATTAAATTATAAATAATACATCACCACAGAGAAGGGCACCTAAGGTGCTGTTCTGGTTTCTGAGTGCATGCCTAGGCATGTATGCCTACACACATAAGTACCTACAGCACACATACACTATACCACACAAACACAAACTAAGATCAAATGAAAACTGCTAAGATTCAACAGCCATTCTCTAAAAGCTTTTTAAAAATTTGTTTTTCGGGCCAGATGTAGTGGCATACACCTTTAGTCTCAGCACTCAGGAGGGAGAGGCATGTTGATCTCTGTGAGTTCAAGGCCAGCCTGGTCTACATATGAAGTTCCAGGACAGTCAGAGCTGCATAATAGAGAAATCCCATTTCAAACAAACAAAAATTGTGTGCGTGTGTGTGCGTGTGTGCGCGTGTGTGTGCGTGTGTGTGCGTGTGTGTGCCACAGTACACGTGTCGACTTGCAGGAGTTGGTTCTCTCCTTTCATTGTGTGTGTTATAAGGATTGAACTCATATAGTCAGGCTAGGCAGTAGGTGCCTTTGCCCATGGAGTCATCCTGATGACCCTAAATGGCTATTGTTTTTCAAGGGTTTTTTTAATCATTTTTAATTGTGTGTAAGTATGTGTGTCTTTGCGTGAATATGCACACATGAGCGCAGGTGTCTGTAGAAGCCAGAGGCATAGGATTCCCTGGTACTGGAGTTACAAGCAAGTAATAAATAATGGTCACTCCTAATAAAAATCATGAGGAGGTGTAGGAGAAAGTGATTTAAATAGACAAAAGCCTCTTTTCTCAAAACAATAATTAATGTTATCTTGAATAGAGAAACAAGTAGATTCATCTCAGTGTTAGTCAAGAATCAGATAATGGTGCACCATTATAATCTAGTATTATTTAGGATATTTTGTGAATGAAATATGATGAAAACTTGAAATAATAAATACAAAGATTAGGAAAGAAGAAATATGTGTCTTTTGATAGGGATATGTATTTAAGAAAATTCAAGATAATTCAGAAGGCAAACCAAATAGGCTTATTGAGAGTGTTTGATAAGGTGGAGCAACCCTAGGCAAATATACAGAGAACAGTGTCTTTTCATCTTTAATGAGAACCAGCTAAAAATAGGAACGGGATATATTAATTTATATAACTTTTGCCAAAAGAGTAAACTACTAGGAATAGTTGGATAAGAAAGTGATAAAACTCTTACCATTGGGCGTTGGTGGTGCATGCCTTTAATCCCAGCACTTGGGAGGCAGAGGCAGGCAGATCTCTGTGAGTTTGAGGCCAGCCTGGTCTACAGAGTGAGTTATAGTACAGCCTCCACAGCCATAGAGAAACCCTGTCTCAAAAAAACAAAAAACAAAACAAAACACCCACCCCCAAAAAAACCTCTTACCTTGTTAAGAGATAGAGCTGGATGTCTGTCTGGAAAAGCCTTCCATGTTTGAGGGTGGGAAATTCTACATTATATAAAAAAGGCCAATTTCTAAAAGTAGGGGGGTCATACAATTCCCATGACAATGAAGAGAAATTTTGCTTTTTGTTTTTTTTTTCCATGAGGAGCTGATAAGAATGATCAAACAATTTACCACGGAGAACAAACGCTCAGCATTGGCTCAGGTGACCATGTAAAGTGGTGCGGGGAGATTTTTCTCTACCACGTAGTCAGAAACAAAGGCGACAGCTATCAAATCAGTGCAGCATGGACATAGAATCAGGGTGTAATCAGACTGCTGAAATGTGGTACTTTAATTCAGAGGGAAAGGGATGGCCCAATGTACTCTGATGAGCAAATAGTCTACAGGATGGGAGAAAAATTTTTGCCAGAAAGACTTCAGGGAATGAGTTGGTACCTGGAATGTATAAAGGACCACAAATATTAAATACCAAAACCTAAACTACCTATCGGTAAAAGGGCCAAGGAGTTAAATGATTCTAAAAAAAAAATGAACGGATGATCATTAAATATTTTAAAAGGTGTTCATCATCTTTGGCCATCAGAAAAATGCAAATTAAAACTATTCTGAGATCCTGTCTCATCCCAGTCAGGATGGCTGTCATTAAGACAAGTGTCAAGGATCCAGAAAGGAGGCCTTACTCACCATCACTCAGTGTCAACTGGTGTAGTCACTATGGAAATCAGGGCAAAGTCTTCCCGAGAAACTGAAAATGGTGCTGGGGAGGGGGCTCACTGGGGAAAGCCCTGCTGCACAGCCTGACAGCCTAAACTTGATCCCTGAAAGCATGTAAAGTTGCAAGGGAAGGACTCCACTATCCTAAAACCAAATAATGACGATAATAATTGATGATGGTGGTGGCAGTGGTGGTGATGAACTAAGTTATAAGTCACTTGCTGATATGTAAGAAAATGTTTTCATAGGAAACTTTGATAGGAAGAATATGAAGTGCTCCAACATTTTGGGTAAAAAAATGTAATATTCATAACCAAGATAAAGTTCATGGAATGCTTAAAAATGTCATGCAGTGAATGCCACACATTTTCACTAAATACCTAAGATTTCTTGGGAAAAGGAAAAAGCGTTTACCTATTGAATCACAGAAGCTATTCTGTGGGGTCAGAACTGCTCTAAAGGCTGGAGTCAGAGCAGGGACCCCAGAGCCCCCTGCAGCCCTACCTTAGGGAAGTTTACACACCTACCTCCCTGCCTTTCTTGGCAGTAAACACGGGGCATGTGTTTTCCTTTGGAAAGAAGCCAATATCTTAGACGTGTTTGGGGTTGACAGACACTTGGTGCCTGGCCTGCATAATAAAACGCTGACAAGAGTAGTAAGATTGGAAATGGAGCTGACGTCAGGCAGTCAAGTGTACAGCTTTTGTGAATAGACACGCAGGGGACTTGGTGTCGTCCCCAAAGCCAGGGTGAATGAGAAGTGGGCGGATTCCAGGCTGCGCTCCTAGCGGGCTGGCAGAACAAGACCATTAGACTAACTCAAGCATGCTTACCCGTGGACTGGCTTTAGCAGAAGGCAACGCTTCTGATGTTTTATTTCCAAGACATTACTGGGATGCCCGGGTGGAAACATCCAGGCGGTGATGGGAAATGGCTATGAAGAGTCCAGGGAGGTGGGTGCCAGGGCTTTCTGTGGAGGAGAGCTAAGGCTGTGAGCGTGAGTGAGTCATTGAAGAGGAGAGAAGGACACTGCTGGACTTCGGGTGGATGCTGGCCAAGCAGGGGCATTTCTTACTGGCCACATGACTTTCTGTAAGACATTTCATGGCTCTGAACCCTGTGCCCCCAATTAACAGGCGGACACGCCTGCTGTTGCCACATACGGTATCTGTTATTGCCACACGTGGTATCTATAGGAGGGCACTTTCGAAGAGTGTTGTCAGCAGGCAATAAGCAATGGAGGACTTTCATAAAGGAAGGAACCCCCTGAGAACCGAAAGTTGGGCCTGGCCCCCTGGCCTCTTCACCTTACTGACACCCACATCACCACTTCTCTTATCTCAGCCCGTCCCTGACTTCCCTGGACAATGCCCCTGCACAGGAGGCTGCCCTGACAAGTTCACTTGTGTTATGGAGGCAATTCGCACACACCGTGTCTACTTATCATGACATTTAATGTCTCCTACCTGCCTACTGAATATCCTTTCTTCCTCGCTAAACTGGTTTTGGATAGCAGTTACAGGTGGCCACGCCTTGGACGTTAATAGTTCATTTTCCACCATCTGGTTATTCACTGCACTACTGCTATTGACTGTCCAGGTGAATTTGGTAGATGAGTACTGAGTGTCTGCTACGCACACTAAGGAAGCCAGACACAGCCCTTTTGCTCCCTGTTGGAAGTCAGTAGTTGGCACACGGCACAGGCAAGTGGGAACAGGTGGCTGGCAGCGTACAAAGAGGAAGAAAAGAAAAAAACCACATTTGGGGACAGAGCTGCGCTTTCTCCGAAGGCTAGCAATACCAGTGCTTCAGGGAGTGAAGTAAACACAGCATTAGAAGACACCCCAGATTAACCGTGTGTAGCCAGCCACTGCCTAAAACCATGGTTTAAATATAAATGGCAATGCTATTAGATACAAATATTCTCGAGGGTTCTAAAGAAGGTAAATGTAAATATTTAAAACCCACCCTCTTTAAAAAAAAGCCACCATCTGTGTCCATTTTCCCTGAACCCTAGTTAACCTGCTCATGGGCTAAAGAGGAAAGGGCTGGGTGGGAACTGTCTCAGCAGAGTAACCCGAATCCCGGAAACCCCAGCTGCTGAAAGCCACTGGGTGTGGTTGGTGCCTGAGAGGCGCTTTGTTCACAGGCCGCCACATGCACACCGTGGGTAGCATTCAGTCACAGGCCACCACTCGCACACGGTGAGTAGCAATCAGCGGTCACCTTGGTTTGCCCTTGGAGAAAGTGTGACAAAGTCAACAGGGAGCCAAGCATTTTGTCTGTGTATTTAATAACTTACACACAACATTCAGGTTATGTTTTTTGAGACAGGATTTCTCTGTATAGCCCTGGCTATCCTGGAACTCCACCTGTAGACCAGGCTGGCCTCACATTTACGGAGATCCACCTACTTCCAAGCCTGACAGCTTGAGTTCCATTTACCCATACCAACATGGCTGAAGGGGAAAACTGATTCTTGCAAGCGGTCTTCTGATCTCCACACGTATAATAAATAAATATAAGAAGAAAAGACAGATCCCGGTGGTCATTTGGTTAATCCTCAGAGATTTGTTATAATCCTAAACAGAAGAGAACACAATCGTGGGGTGGCTTGATAAACCCCTGAAGACAGACAAGCTCAGACACAGGTAAAGTGATTTAGTTTTCTGGTGTCAGCTAGCTGCTTGCGGTTTATCAGCTGGAGGGGACGTAGAGGGGGCTTAGGTGAAGTCCTCATTCGTCAGAGAAATGCTTATTGAACGTGCACATGGCAATGGCTAGAATTTCACACTCATGGAAGATAAGCTGAGAGCTGAGGCCATGTAAGTGTGAACGCCTGAGTTTGGACCTCCAGCATCCATATATAAAGTGTGTGCCTGGAATCCCAGTGCTGAACAGGTAGAGACAGGAAGCCCTGGGCTTACTGGTCAACCAGTGTAGCTCAGTGAACTCCAGGTTCAGTGAAAGACTATCTTGAAAAATAAGGTAGAGAGTGATTGAGGAGAATCCACACATACTTACGTGTACGTGCGTGCGTGCCTGCAGGAGCGCACACAGAAGAAATGCCTTAGGGGATATTGTCCTCATCTTTGACTTGAGATGGCTCAGTAACTTTTCCAGAGTCCCAAAACCTGAAAGAGGAAGTCTTGGAATGGACCTTAATCCTCGTACTTGTTCCTGTGTTCCTCATGGCTAGAAGAGCGTCATCAGTGGTCCATGCATACATTGCCAAGCTCAGTCCTGGGGAAGCTGTACAGGTGGAAGGGATGCCACCTGGTGGGACCCACACTGGAGTAGGGAAAAACAGACAACCACAGGGTCACAACGAGCAGCAAGCCAGGCACTGCAAAGGGAGATTCAAATGTAAAATGCGGGAACCTCAGGGCGTGGGGCGGGGGCGGGGGGAGGCATGTGGGCAGGGGTGGTGAAGAATGCTTTTCCTTCTGAAAACAAAGCTTCCAACCCTGCTTCTACTTGCTGCTGGCTGCAGCCAGGCACACTGTTTGTCTCATTCTTGGGGAGGGTTTGCTTATGTCACAGGTGGGTTCAATTGAATTAAGGGCAGACAGTCTGATCCCTAGGCAAGCCAGCTGAAACTAGTTTTAGTATTTGTACAGCTGGCGAAACACTCTATGGATTTTCTGCTTAAACATGAAAATGAGAATCAACACCATGGCAGAGAGGTAAGACAATGTGACTGCAACTCCCGGTGACCCTCCTGCCTCCCCTTGCCGAGTGCTGAGGCTACCGAGAGGTGTCACCAAGCCCAGCTCCGTTTATGCCCGTTTTAAAAAAGGGGAAGGGTGCATACTGTTATCTCTGTGAAGAACTATTTGGGCGCAAATCCTGAGAAAGGATTGACTTTATTCTTTTTCCCTAAATTGACACAAGTTAACAAGAAAGAGTTAGTAAGACACCACAGCTGAAGTTAACGTGAAGGGAAAGAGCTCACTTCATCACAAGGATGAGGGACTAAAAGCTAGACAGATCTCTGATAGACAGATGGGGAAAGGGGTCACAGATAGATTAAAAAGATAGCAAACTTCTGGCCTATTTCTCCCCTTCTGACTTGATAAAGGCCTGTGTGCTGGCTAGTCTGTGGCAACTTGATACACAAACTAGAGTTATCTGGAAGGGGGGATCTCAACTGAGAATATGCCTCCATAAAATATGGCTGTGAAGTATTTTCTTAGTTATTGAAGGGGGAGGGCCCAACACATTGTGGCTGGTTCCATTCCTGGGCTGGTGGTCCTGGGTTCTATAAGAAAGCAGGTTGAAGCTGGGTGTGGTAGAGCACACCTGTAATCCCAGCACTTGGGAGGCAAAGGCAGGAGGATCTCTGTGAGTTCGAGGTCAGCCTGGTCTACAGAGAGAGTTCTAGGACAGTCAGGGCTACACAGAGAAACCCTGCCTTGAAACAAAACAAAACAAAACAAAAACTTCAGAAACAGGAATCAGCTTGCTTATCTTATGTGAAAGAATGTTCTATTTGTAAATGAATGTTCCAGTGGTTTGATGGGGTCATTATTCAGGCTGAAGGAGGAGAGAAGAGCTCTGATTGGTTAAACAGTTATGAACATTCTGGCCCTAGCACAGTCCATCTGTGCTCTTTAACACTCCCGTTTGAGATCTCCTGGAAAGGGAATAGTGTCTTGGTGCCTCTAGGCAGATTCGTTTCTTGTAAATTTATGGCTCACAGCCAACAGGAACTGTACCCAGATCAGTGGAGCCAGGGGCTTCACTCGCTTCCTGTGGCCCTTTCCTCTTCCTCATCTCTCTATCCTGCTTCAAAGATATTTCAAATTTGCTAGTACTGTTTTGAAAAACTTCTGTCCCCACTCTCTGGCTGCCAGAGAGGGGGAGCTGCTTTCAGTTTTCTCTGGTTATTGCTGGGAAATCGAAACTCAAGAACTCCCTGGTGGTGGCACAGTCTCAGCTGAAGCAACAGGCTCTGCCTCCCAGGAAACATCCTTGGTGCTCTGGAGAGCAGGAGAGCTACAGCATCCAGGGAGCGCCTCTTTGTAGTGAGACTTGGCAGCTTCTGCCTGAGTTGAGCTTTCAGGTCAGAATGCACCCAGGGTGCTAGTCAGATGTCAACCGCCAAATCCCTGGTGTCCATTCTCAGAAGCAGAGGAATGGGGGCGATTAGCGGTTCCTGCCTTTCTTGGGTTCCCAGCTGTATCTGGATTCCTCAACACTGCATGCATGTCCCAGTTGAAAGGTTCCCATAAACTCAGACCTCACGTTAGCGAGGTAAGATAGGCCCTTCTCCCCAAGTGTCTTTCTGCCCTGTACTAGCAGGAAGGAACACCTGGTCAGGAACATGTGGAGAAGAATGCTTTAATCTTCTCTGACCCAGAAGCATTCCCTTACTTCAGGTGTCTGCTGATTAATCAGTGGCTGGTGAGTTCAGCAGGTTGTGTGTTTCCTTCCCATGACTCTAATGCTACTATTGTTTCTAGTCAAGTCTAAGTGCAATAATGCTTGTACTTTATGTGGTGCTTTTGGCGAGAGAGTAGGAACAACTATGTTGGTCTTCATCACAGAAGTGAGTTAAGATATTTTAGGCTTGTGACAAGGAGAGAGAATAGAACCCAACCATTCATAAACAGGAGCCAGGCCTCGTGATCTGGGACACAGAAAGCAAGAACACCTGTGAGGCTTAGGTGTGTTTTCCTGTAGTGGTCCCGTCTGCCATTTATTAATGTTAATGTTTTATGTGAACAATGCTATCTAACCCTTCCAACTCTGTAATAGGTGCTGTTATCTCTACCTTATTGTAGGAACAACTGATGCTTCTAGGTTGCAGTTATTGCCCATGGTCCACGCGGCTGCTGGGTCAGACAAGATCTAGACCCGTGTCTGCTATATCTAGCCGGGGAAGCCTTTGGATGCCCCAGAATAATGCTTGTGACTTGGGGTGTTGGGTTTTTGGGTTTTGTTTTTTAAATTTGTTTGTTTGTTTATGCGGGATACTACTCAGGCCTTGTGCTTAGGAAGTGCGCACTCTGTCACCTACATAGGTCGTCAGCAGCAGAACAAAAAATTTAAATGCAAACTACTCCAAAACAAAATAGAACCTCAGAAAGGAGAAGGAGGGGTTGGAGGGAGGGCACGGGAGGAGGGGAGGGAAACGGAGAGGGACCTGGAACTGACTTGTGAAGCAACCTTGTTTCTAATCTAAATTTAAGCTTAAAAATAAATTAATAATAATAATAATAATAATAATAATAATAATAAAGAAGAAGAAGGAGGAGGAGGAAAAGGAAGGGAGAGAAAGGGCAATTCTGTTGAAACACCAGCTGTGCAGGCCCTTTTGAGGGTGGCCTCCCACAGCCTGTTTCCCCACCACACACTCTGGCCTCTGCCTTGCTTGAGAAGCAGACAGAAGTGAAACTTAACTGGGCTAGTTCTTAAAAATGTCTGTTTTAAAGTAAAACAAAACTTCAGTCCCACCAGCTACCAGCAACCAACTGACTGGAAATCCCTGGCAGGGTGTAACTACTCTCATGCCTTAAGAGCTTCCTCCGTGTTCTCCCATGCAGCCTCCAAGCCATCTTTGGTCTCTCTGATACACAAATTACTATTTGCTCGACTAGGCTCTTCACAGGTTTATTGTGTCTACAGGACCTGTTTAAGTGGTCAAAAATGCAGCCTCGGTCTGTCTCTTGGGTAACTTAGTAATGAGTAAGGCATCAACAGTGAAGGAAAGGAGCTGGAGAGACGGCTCAGCAGTCAGGAGCCCCAGCTGCTCTTCCAAAGGATCTGGGTTCGATTCCTACCACCCTCATGATAGCCTACAACCATCTGTAACTTCAATCCCAGGAGACCTAGCACCATCTTCTGGTTTCCATGGGCACTAGACATGTGATGCACAGATATACATACATGCAAGCAAAACACCAGTATACACAAAAATAAGAATCTTAAGAAAATAGTGGAGGAAATACATGCTCATCTTGGGGCCATCTGTGATTTGCACTGAAGGTGCAGGTGGCCTTCAGGACATCACCTAGCAGGGATGTGTGCTCATCCTGGATCTGGTGGGCATGCAGACCCAGACCCCAATATGTAGCATAATAAGGATGTAACGAGGAACAGCAGGCTACCTACCTGCACCATCTAGTAGCTATTGAGAAGAGTAAACTTATAGAAACTGATAAATGGCACTTAAACAGTGCCTTAACCAAGACCAAGAACAATGTAAGTAGTAGTAGGATTATGCTCATCCATCCTAGGGTGCCTGATCAGGTCTTGATTGATTCACAAAGCACGAACCAATGGAATGGCTTCCAAGACAATGGGTGATTCTTTAGGTAGGCCAAGGAGAAGTTCCCCTAGCTCCTCATAGCAGGGACAGACGCCTGTCTGAAGCTCCTATCTCTGACATAGGCTCCAAGGGAACAAAACGTACTTCTGGGAAGGAGGAAGTGGTTCAGAGCCATCTATCTAGTTGGAACTCTCTAAACTCAAATTTTCCTTGAAGTCACATGCTTACTTTTAAAACACACTATTTTCTATTTTGCCCCACAGTTGTATCGGTATGAAAATCTTTTTACATGAAACTACCATGTGAAGTTGTTCCTGCAAGATCTGGACTGTGCGGCACCCCACCGTCATCCTGGGGCTTAGGATCCCAATATAGCAAATGTGGGGGGATGGAAACATTCAGTCTATTACTACAGGCAAGCACACACATGTGCCAGGCATGGTGACCACACCTTTAGTCCCAGCACTTGGGACTAAAGAGGCAAGCAGATCTCTGTGTGTTCAAGGTCAGCCTGGTCTACAAAGTGAAGTCCAGGGCAGCCAGGGCTACACAGAGACACCCTGTCTCAACAAAACAAAACCAACCAACCAAACCACCACCAGCAACAGCATATACACATGTATACCATGTATACTGATATTCAACATTTCCAATACCAGATCTGGGTACCCACTAACTCACTATTAAGTGAAGACCTTACATCTATAAGGAGAAGCAGTGCCCTTCATGTGACACTTTTTACAGAGGTTTATGGTGGCTTTCTGATATGTTCGAAGATACTTTGTGCTCTTCCCTCCCAAGGGAGGGTCCTAATTCACCTTCCTCTTCTGATATGTTCGAAGATACTTTGTGCTCTTCCCTCCCAAGGGAGGGTCCTAATTCACCTTCCTATAAATGTGGAGCAGACTTAGCTATTTGCTGCCCCTAACAAATTCTAGGAAGGACAGTGAGTGGACAGGCTAGGTCACTTGCCTCTCACTTCCTTGATTGCATACTCCAGGACAATGCAGCAGCGTACACACCATGGGGGGAGGATGGTTCCCATAGGCAGCACCTGTGGG